CTCTGGCCTCTCCGCATCAGAATGGGACTACAGAGCATCGCATTGGCTTGGTCATGGAGGTTGCTCGCACCTCCATCGTCCATGCGGCTGCTCCCCATTTTCTGTGGCCATTTGCGGTCCGATACGCCGCTGAGCAGCTCAACCTCTGGCCCCGTGTCTCCCACCCGGAGACCTCCCCTACTCTGCAGTGGACGACAGAGGTTGGTGATGCATCGGCGTTTCGGGTCTGGGGTTCCCTTGCTCTTGTCCGCGATCTTCCCGCGGGCAAGCTCTCTCCTCGCACTCTTTGCTGCGTCTTCCTTGGCTTCCCTACCGACGCCCTGCCCTGGCAGTTTTACCACCCGGGTTCTCGTCGTGTCCTCTCCTCCCAGGACGTCACCTTTGACGAGTCTGTCTGCTTCTACCGTCTCCACCCCCACCGCAGTTCCCCCGTGCCCCTCCCGCCTCTCTTCCTGGTACTCGACCCCGGTAGCCTCCCTCCCCCCACAGGGTCCTGCTTCCTCAGGTGTGTCTCAGGTAGACCCACCCCCCTTGGTTGAGCCTTTGGAGGTCTCCTCTGACACCTCTGGCCCAGCTGAGGGGGGTGACCTGACTGCTGCCGACACTGTGCCCCCTCGCCGCTCAGCGCGCTTGGCGGCCCTTCCTGGGTTTCCGCCTCGGCTGTCTTCACCGCCTCTGCAGCCCGTCGCTGTGGACTCTGGTGCTGCTGGAGGTGGTGACACTGGGGGTGCGGACTCTGGGGGTGCTGGTTCTGGGGGTGCTGAGTGTCCTACGGGTACAGGAGGAGCTGGAGGTGCTACTGTTGGAGGTGCTACTGTTGGAGGTACTACAGTTGGAGGTGCTGGAGGTCCTGGTGCTGGAGACGCTAGTGCTGGCGGTACTGGTGCACGTCGTCTGGAGACTCTCTCGCCCGAGCGACTTCGCGAGTGGGCTGTCCGGTGGGGCAGCCCTGGTGGTGGAGCTAGCCGTGCTCGAGCTGGAGGTGCTGGGGCTACTGGAGCTGGAGGTGCTAGTGCTGGTGGTACTGGAGTTGGAGGTGCTGGAGGTCCTGGTGCTGGAGACGCTAGTGCTCGCGGTACTGGTGCACGTCGGCAGGAGACTCTCTCGCCGGAGCAGCTTCGCGAGTGGGCTGTCAGGTGGGGCAGCCCTGGTGGTGCAGCTAGCCGTGCTAGAGCTGGAGGTGCTAGGGCTACTGGAGTTGGAGGTGCTGGACGTACTGGTGCTGGACGTGCTGGAGCTGGAGGTACTTGAGGTACTGAAGCTGCTGGTACTGGAGGTACTGGAGCTGGAGGTGCTGGAGGTACACGTGCTGGAGGTGCTGGAGCTACTGGTGCTGGAGGTGCTGAGCTGGAGGTACTGGAGGTACTGGAGCTGCTGGTGCTGGAGGTGCTGGAGTTGGGTATGCTGGAGGTACTGGAGCTGGGGGTGCTGGAGCTACTGGCGGTACGGGTACTGCGCCGCGACGACCGTTTTTCTACCTGCAGCCGCAGTCGTCCCTACCACCGCCTGACTCGGCACTATGACAGGTTCTTAGTCTTCCGTCTTCCACTGGCCTTACTCCGCCTCTCCTGTGTCCTCAGCCTGACCAGTCACAGCTACCGTTACTGCCTGGCTCCCCACTGCCTGCTTCGTCTCCTTACCCTACGCAAACAGGCTCACTGGCAGAGCGTCGTGAGCCTGAGTCTCGTCATGCCTCCAATGTTCGCACTGTCATTCGTACTCGTCGTCCTCGTCCTCCACCTGTCCCCGGCACGCACACGATGGCACTTCGTCCTTCCTCTGTTCCACAGCGTGTTGCCCTACCGTCTCCTCCGGCGTCCTCTCTTCCTGACGTTCCTGACCCTGAGTCTGACCTTGCTCGTGCTGCTAGTCCTACTATCACTCGTCTCCTCGCCACTGTCGTCAATGACCCTTCCTTTGAGTCTACTTCTGCGTTTGCCCTAGTCACTGAGCTAGTCGACTTTGCTGCTACCCGTCGTCTCGACTACGTCGCGAGTCTTGTTACTGAGTCTGAGTCTGTCTGTCCTCCGTCCGTCGGGGGTGATCTTGCCCTTAGCAGTGACGTCCTTGAGGACAGGCAGTTTGAGCTTGAGTCTCTCGCGACCGCTTTACCTCGCTTCGCGTCCGTGAAGCTTTGCCCTGAGGGAGACCCGGATGCACTTGACGTCCCCACCCCGCGCTCTTACGTAGAGGCGATCATAGGTGAGTACTCCTCTCAGTGGCAAACAGCCATGGACGCAGAGATGGCTCCTTGGAAATCCACAGGCACCTACGTCGACGAGGTTCCCCCTCCTCGGGCGAACATAGTCGATGGCATGTGGATTTTCAGAGTGAAGCGGCCGCCGGGTTCTCCTCCTGCCTTCAAGGCGCGTTACTTTGCTCGAGGCTTCAGTCAGCGACAGGGGGTCGACTTCTTCCAGACCTTCTCCCCCACCCCGAAGATGACTACTCTTCGGGTGTTGCTGCACGCTGCAGCACAGCGTGACTACGAGCTGCACTCCCTCGACTTCTCCACAGCCTTCTTGCAGGGCAGCCTTCACGAGGATATTTGGCTGCGCCGCCCACCTGGCTCCACTGGGTCGTTTCCTGAGGGTACCCAGTGAAGCCTCCGGCGGCCAGTCTACGGTCTCCGCCAGGCGCCCCGCGAGTGGCACGACACACTGAGAACGACACTTGCGGCTCTTGGGTTTGCTCCTTCCACTGCTGACCGTCGCTGTTTCTGCGCACCGACCCTTCTCTGCCGCCGTTCTACATCCTCGTGTATGTCGCCGACTTGGTCTTTGCTACTGCTGACACTGAGGCGCTGACCCTTGTGAAGGCGGAGCTGCAGAAGTGACATAGTTGCACTGACCTGGGTGAGCTGCGTAGCTATCTTGGCTTGCAGATCACCCGGGAGAGAGCACGGTGCACTCACTCTGACTCAGTCACACATGGTGCACCAGGTCCTTCAGCGCTTCGGCCTTCGGTTCTCCTCACCACAGTCCACTCCTCTGCATACAGGCCACTCCCTCTTAGCTCCACCTTCGGACGAGTCCGTAGAGCCGAGTGGCCCGTATCTAGAGCTTGTGGGCTGCCTCATGTACCTGATGACGTGCACACGACCTGACCTCGAATACCCTCTCAGCATCCTTGCTCGCTTCGTCGCCCCCGGGAGACACAGGAAGGAGCACTGAACAGCTGCGCAGAGGGTACTGCGTTACTTGTGCGGTACATCGGGCATGGGGCTCGTTCTTGGAGGACGGGGTCCAGTCGAACTCACAGGACACTCCAACGCTTTTTGGGCCGACGACCAGGCGACTCACCGGTCGTCCCAGGGTTGCTCTTTCAGTCTCGGCTCTAATCCTGTCTCGTGGAGGTCCACTCGTTCGTCTTCTGTGCTTGGTTCCAGCTATGAGACCGAGATCTACGCTGGGGCCACGGCTCCACAGGAGTTACGCTGGCTGACCTACCTGCTTACCGACTTGGGTGATCGGCCTCGTTCTCCTCCAGTTCTGTACGTCGACAACAAGGCCATGATTGCCTTGTGTCAGGAGCAGAGACTAGAGCACAAAACGAAGCACATTGCTCTTCGTTACTTTCTTGCTCGGGCAGCAGCGTGGTCAGCTGTGCCTTGCTTACGTGGCCTCTCGGGCCAACACTGCTGATGTCTCCACCAATGCCCTTGGGTCTGGTGATCATCAGCATTTATGCACTGCTCTAGGCCTTGTGCCTACTCTGCCTCACCTTCTGGTTGCTTGACTTGTCTTGTACTGTGATCTATCTATATATACATACATGCATGCTTGCTCTTGCTAGATTGTGATCACTGTACTTCTTGTGCTTTTATAACTCTGCATGTGAACTGGCCTTGTGGCCGCTTACTTGTGCTCAGACTGCGTGGTGATCTTGAGATCCACCCTGAGCTTTGCTTTGCTTTGTTCTCTTTCTTGACTGGCTTGTGACCGTTGGTAGTTCTTGCTATCCCCCACTTTGCCTATGGGGATGTGTCAAACTATGTTTCTATGTTGTAGGCTGTAGTGGAGTAGCCTCTACTGAGTACAACACTTTAGGGTTAGACATTGCCCTACTTGTACCCATCCTTTCTTTCTAGTCACCCATTCTTGCCCGTTATTTCTGACATTTACACCCTCCTCCTTCCTCGCCCACTTACCCACGCTCCTCGGTGCCTGGAATCCTTTCAATGCTCCATCAGAAAGTTGCCTCGTCTGGTTTGGGGAGTTTGGGTCGAATTTGGGTTGTTGGGTTTCGGTGTTGGGACATATTTCGATCAGGCTGTTCAGGTGTGATGGGTTCGGCCAATCGCCACCCAAGAGCAACCATTCAGTCGATGAATATGAATGTGTGATTCCCGTGGAAACAGTGAAGGCTGGGAATGGACGGTAACAAACAGTCACAGCCATCTCGCCATAAACAGGGGACGACCGTTGGTGGTTGTGATTCCTTGAATTACGAAGTTTGCCGTGCGTGGCAATCTGTGGTCCACTTCGTAGATGAGACGTAACGACAATGTACGAGGCCGACCTGGCAGTCTGCGTGGTGTCACTTCGGTGAGCGACGCCTTGTTACTCCTTGCAACGAAACCATAACGAGTGTAGCGCGACAGCAGTAACCATAAAAGGTTACATCGTTATGTTAAACTATCTTTTGTAACAGTGCGCGTGATTGTAGGAGAAATCATTAGACGAGATAAGTAATATTCGTATAACGCGTACAGTGTATAGTAAAATTTGACTGTAATTTTACAAAATATGAATTCTTAATGCTGGTAATAGTTTTTCTGTTTAACAGTGTTACGTTGTAACTCATTTCTATTACAATTCCTCACACGGTTGTTGATTGCTTTTATACATTAGACATTTTTTTGTTGCATAGAAACAATTAATTATTCAGCCCTTTCAGAAATGCACGGGTGCCAAAATCCACTCAGGGCCTAGGAAGGCGCATCACAAACAGTTAGATCCACAATTAGCAACCAAACACCATCCAGAGTTGCCTACAACCTAGGGCGGGGGGCCGTTAGGAAAGATAGCCGCCTCATAGCCCTCTAACAGAATCTTGATAACGGGGGACATGTTGAATCCAGCGGGCGGTGTGGAGTCCGAGATCGCCACATCCCCACCCTGGTAGGTCGCCTTGATCCAGGCGACCACCTGGTTGATCTTGGCCGCGACATTCTGGCGGTTGACAGCCTCAGCAGTGTCGAGTGCTGGGTTCAGTCGACCCCTGGCATTCACCAAGGGCCACTCCAACCGGAGTTAAGCAAAAAAAAAAAAAAAAAAAGGGAAACATATTAGCAACACCATTATACAGAGTTAGTGCGGCTAAACAACCATGTATTCACCACGTTGCAGAGGTTCACTCTGCACCACTCTGCAGGGGTCCGTGAGAAGAGGGCGCGATGTTTTCCTTCGCGAGCTCCTTCCACTTGATCTCAAGAGCGCACCCTCCCGGTCCTCTCCCAAACAACTTGATATCAGCGTTCACGTTAGAACGCTTGTCTGACACCTTGCGCATCGCCAGCGCCTCCTTCTGGGGGTCGGTGCTGATAACGTAGTAAAACATGTCAGGCAGAACGCCCGCCGCCTCGTACTTCTAACACACCACCTCGCGAAACTCATACCACTCTGGGTAGAAGCGCATTGAAAGTGCAGGCGCATCGGACGTCAGGAAGCTAATCGACTCGAGCGCCTTCTTCTGCGATGCAAAAGATATAATGGATCGTAAAAGGGAACAGAAGGTAAGCGTGAGTACAAAATCAACCATGGAACATCTGAACAACTGAGAGCTTCATTAAAACATCTACGACAACAGTAATATCAAAGGCATCCGGGTAAAAAAAGACACGAAACGCTGATAAACGATAACTCACCGCGAAATGCGCATCCTGACTAAGAATAGCAGGAATGAGCAGATTGCCGTTGGCGTCGCGTGGAAAATGCGCTCCAGGTTATATGTCGCGGAACCGGTGACGGCAAGAGAACGGGCCCCTCCCGGGTTCTTGGCAGTAGCAAGGTACTGAAGAAGCTGCTCGTTAAGTCGCACCATCTCGGTGTAACGCTCGTTCATCGTGGCTAGCTCGACGTCCCTCGCCGAGAGGTGCTAGGACAGCTCCCTCTCGCGGTCCTGGGTCCGCCTGAGGGTGTTCCGCACGTCCGCAAATTGTCCTTGCAGTCTAAAGATCTGAACAGCGCCTGCTTCATCGCCGGGAACAATTGCGACATGGTGGAGACTGCTTCATCGGCGGGAACAACTGCGACATAGTGGAGAGAAAAAGAAAAACAAAAGAACAGATTCTTTACAAACAAGGAACAATAAAGCATGCACTAGTCCAAGTAAGTTGAAACGTTGGCGGTCGGAAATGAATATAGTAGCAAAGCTGAAAATTCAGATCTTACTGCTTCGTGAGCTGATTGGCACGGTAAACCGTAACGGGGTCTCCACAATCCTGGCTCCAGATGCTACGGCGTTTGCGGTTGCAGCGACAGGGGCGGTGACGACATATCCATAAAAAACCGCGGTTGCAGCTTCTTCTTCCACGGCTAACGATGGTGCAGGAAGCGGCGTAGCTGGGGAGTCCGAGGCAGTATTGATATGAGTAGCGACACTTGGAACCGATGTCGCGGGATCGACAGGCGCGGAAGCGGCAATCGATGCAGCGATTATAGCGGCAGGAGAAGTCACAGTAGTTGCGGCATTGCGGCGGCAGGCGCACTAGTGAGCGCCGCCGCCACCATAGCCGGAGTGGTTGTTGCCACAGTGGTTGTTGCTGCAGTGATCCCCCGCCACGCCCGGGGCTCCTGCTGATATCGCCCCATCCCTGGACCTGACTCCACTTCGCAAGAAAATGTGCCCAAGAAAATGTGCAACGCATTAGGGACGATGTTATCTTGCATCTATTGAATTGAATTTGATAAATTTGGAATTCAAACTCACCACGAGTCATCATCTCGATGTCCTCTAGGCTGAACATAGACTTGGCCGACTCCCTGATGAAATCGTAGGTGATGTCGTCCCGGGCGGCATGCGTGGGATGCGGATCAAAATCAAATGGTGTATCAACGTCGACGCACTTGATCCCCAGAATCCGAGAACACTCATCTGCTTCCCCACCCGAAGCACCGATATCATGGGATGTTGAACCGACGTCGCCATTCTCTCCTCCCCCTGCTCTATGCTCATGCTGCACTTCCATCCCCCCATCTCGCTCCAAGCCCCTTCGTCGTTTGGCCGATGGTTCAACCGGCTTCGCCCTGACCTTCAACACCTTCCGCATCTCCAAGAATGCCCATTTCTCAGCAGCCTTTGCCGATGCATAAAACTGAAATCGTCCCCAATTTTGCACACACATGGCGGATCAGTGTTTTTTTAGCGGACCGCGAACTCACAAATTTCCCCGCACCTTTGTTTAGCGTCAACCACTCCCACAACTCCTTCTGTGAAACTGACCACAACTCGGAACATGACTTGGCCTTATCCACTGTCATAGTACCCACCTGTGCCTCCACAAAAGCTTTCACAAACAGTCGTGTCAATGCTCGACCTTTGTGCCAAACGTCCATCTGATGGTTGATCCCCTTACCAACTAACGCCTTCTTGAATGACCCTCCATCGTCACGTATGATCTCGGTCACATTGAACCGCCACTCTTTCAACTTCTCCAAGCCAAGCTTGAATGCAACCCCTTCTAACCCAGTCGATGACTTTCCCTCCTCCTTCTTATATACGGTGACAGCCAACAACATCTTCCGTGACCGTGGATCCATGAAAGTGACAGTGCACCACTGCGCTTCCCTTGCCTGTGACCAACGTCCATCCACGCAAATGTACCCATCTCTCTGTTTGCGCAGCTGCATGTCTTATCGGGCTCTAGCCATGCTCTCTTCCCCATTGACAATGATAGCCTCTCACAAACCGTACGGTCGTCGCATGTAACGATAGAAGGTCTCTTTCCCGATAGACAGCCGCTGAAAGCATATTCCCGCCATAACAAATGCCCCCAACCACCACGGAAATAGCAAGGAGGCCTTTGGGCCCTGTTTGCCTAAACCCCTGGTGACTTTGCCCCTTTCAGTAGACCAAAACTGTATAGCCTTGCCACACGTATCACAGACCCACAAGACCCCCAACATCGCCCACGTCATTTTGCACCTCCTCACGACCAACGAACCCTTACACGCGGTCACCTGGCAGCAGACCACTCCCAGACTCATGAAGAATTGTGGCAATACAATGGGGTCTAACAGACATACCGCCACTTTGAGGCTAGTTGCGGCAGCGTTGGGCAACAGAGGCCAGGATCGAGCGAGAGCCCTTCGGAGGGGTGCTCCAGCACGTTCCGCTGTTAAGATGTGGTGGGGTCGAAGTGTAAATGCCAAAACAAGTTAGGGAAGTTTTCGAATGATGCCACACACTCAACAAGCTAGGGAAGCGTTTGAACGGATGAAGTGTAGAGTCGTTGAGTGTTTAATGAACACTCAAAACAAGCTAGGGAAGCATTATACCAAAACAAGCTAGGGAAGCTTTTGAACGAGGCCACACACTTAACGAATCTACAAAAGAGCACTTACCCATCAACCTGGGGCCAAATTGCAGCAATAGAGGCAGTTGCCCCGGCGCTCGGGCGCTCGGGCTCGGATTCCCTTCCAGCTCCGTCCCCCTCATCTTGTCCATCAACAATGGGGACATCCCCCTCTCCCAACTCTCTCCCCTCTTCCACATGCCCCACATCGTCCACCGGGGCAAACTCCTCCACAACAGTCTCACATCCCATTGGTGGCGAATCCATAACAGGTGATCCTCCGTTCCCACTCACATCATGCTTTCCTCTTGCCGCTTCTGTTTAATGTCCATACGTGGCATATGGGTATATGGGCACACAAGCATGAATCCTTTACAAACATGGTGGATTGCGTGATGTGAAACCCACAAAATGGATAAGACCAGTCGCATGTCATTCAATCAGGGCAAAACAATGCAGAGAGACGTGCAACAACTGGAACAAAACCCCGCGTGCGACAGTATGCCAGTTCGACATTTCACCAAGTGGTGTGTAAAATACACCCTCACATGGACATACCCGCATCGTGTAGTGCTTGATATGCCGGTCCACGACGGTCACCTCCATGACCATGTCCCTTATCCGGCACAAGCACACCCTCCTCGTTGAGATGGTAGGTATTGAACTCATAAACGAAGCCGTCCAATGACAGCGGATTCCTCTGGAGTAGTTGCGCCTCGTCAGCATTGTAACTTTGCCTGTGCTTTCACCATGGCGCCATTCCCACCTACCATAAACATCATGGTTTGGGCAAGTTAGCTGGGAGTTTGCAAGTGAGATTGTACAACTTATTGGTGCACAAATGTAACAAGGTAACACTTACAAGTAGCAGTTGCTGCATTTATAAGCTTCACAACTACATCGGGGGCCGACACCGTGAGGACGTGTAGCACGTCGTTATACGATGCCTCTCCCCATTAGTGCCGATAAACCGCACCGCATAATGGTTACGGGAAGGACAGTGTGTTTCTCCAGCCCCACTGGCCTTTGCTTAACACCCCCCATAATGTTTTGAAGCTGCTGTTGCATACTCTCCCCCTTGTTCTTGGAGCGTCTGCCATTACAACCACGCGTCAATTTCATATGCTAGTATTTGGCTACTGTGTTTCACACAGCCTCACACAACCCGGAGCACTCACCTCGGTGCCATTGAGACCCTCTACGCAAATGTTCTTCGGACGAGTGTCCACAAACGGAATGGCGTTGTCATGTATGGCCTGCATGGATGTTGACGGGTTGCAGAGGCACAATAGAAGGACATACGCGTTAGGTTGTGCCATCTCTTGCAACACAACTTACCGCCTTTAGATGTACCTAACCTCACTTCAACCCCCCTCATCGCACCTTCCCTTCACAATCTCTACCCTTATATCCCTTCCCCTTCCCTAAGCACCACTCTTCCCTCTCTCATATCCTTGCCTTCCCCCCTGCCAGCACCTCCCTTCCCGCCTCCCTTCCCCCTCTGTCAGCACCTCACTGCGTCTCATCGCACCTACTGTCCCCCTTCCATCGCAACTAGCATCAGGGGTTGCCTAGTACTGGATACGTTGTAGAGGAGGGATGAACATGCTATAAAAGAATAGGGCTCAAAGTTCACACAGCGTAGGGGTCAGGGACGGATGAAACATGCACATAAAAAACAAGAGCTGAGAGAATGGGTGGAGGGGTTGCAGGAGAATGCTTTTACCTCCCTTCCCCCCCTCACAGGACCTCCTTTCCCCCTCACACAGAACCTCTGAACCCTACTCTCACAGCACCTCCCTTACCCCTCTAAAAGCACCTCCTTTCCCCCTCGAAAAGCATTTCCCTCCCCCCTCTCCAAGCACCTCCCTTCGCCATCTCACAGCACCTACCCTCCCCCTCTCACAGCACCTCCCTTACCCCTCTCACAGCAACTCCCTTCCCCCTCTTACAGCACCTCCTTTCCCTCTCTAAAAGCACAACCCTTCCCCCTCTCACAGCACCTCCCTTCCTCCTCTCAATGCACCTCCCTTCCCCCTCTTACAGCACCACCTTTCCCCCTCTCACAGCAACTCCCTTGCTCCCTCTCACAGCACCTCCTTTCCCCCTCTCGCAACACCTCCCTTCCCCCTCCTTTCCCCACTCACAGCACCTCCCTTCCCCCTCTCACAGCACCTCCTTTCCCCTTCTTCTCACTGCAACTCCCTTCCCCCTCTCACTGCACCTCCCTTCCCCCACTCACAGCACCTCCCTTCCCCCTCCCACAAACCCTACATTCCCCCTCTCACAGCACCTCCCTTCCCCCTCTCACAGCAACTCCCTTCCCCCTCTTACAGCACCTCCTTTCCCCCTCTTACAGCACAACCCTTCCTCCTATCACAGCACCTCCCTTCCTCCTCTCACTGCACCTCCTTTCCCCCTCTCACAGCAACTACTTTCCCCCTCTAAAAGCACCACCTTTCCCCCTCTCACAGCAACTCCCTTCCCCCCTCTCACAGCACCTCCTTTCCCCCTCTAAAAGCACAACCCTTCCCCCTCTCACAGCACCTCCCTTCCTCCCCTCACTGCACCTCCCATCCCCCTCTCACAGCACCTCCTTTCCCCCTCTTACAGCACCTCATTCCTCCCTCTCACTGCACCTCCATTCCCCCTCTCACAGCACCTCCCTTCCCCCTCTCACAGCAACTCCCTTCCCTCTCGCACAGCACCTCCCTTCCCCCTCTCACAGTTCCTCCCTTCCCCCTCTCACAGCAACTCCCTTCCCCCTCACACAGCACCTCCGAACCCTACTCTCACAGCAACTCCCTTCCCCCTCACACAGCACCTCCTTTGCCCCTCTAAATGCACCCCCCTTCCCCCTCTCACAGCACCTCCTTTCCCCCTCTAAACGCACCTCCCATCCCCCTCTAAAAGCACCTCCCTTCCCCCTCTCACAACAACTCCATTCCCCCTCTCCCAGCACCTCCCTTCCTCCTCTCACAGCACCTCCCTTCCCCCTCTCACAGCATCTCCCTTCCCCCTCTCTAAGCACCTCCCTTCCCCCGCTCACAGCACCTCCTTTCTCGCTAGGGAATGCACCTCCCTTCCCCCCTTCAGAGCAACTCCCTTCCCCCTCTCATGTGCTACTTTAGGGCAAGCTCTTGGGCCGCTCGGGACAAGCAGAGCGGATTTGCGTAGAAGTTAGCCAATTTCGCTCAAATGTATCCCGTGAGAGGCGGCGTTCCTAAACCTCCTTTCCATAAAGCGTCATTAATGCGGCTCGCTTTTCTACACAGCGCATACATCACGCTCTCGAGCCCACCTTTTTTACCCGTAAGTAATTTATATTTCAACCGCTTTGATTTTTTTTGCGCGCTAAAGCTGGGCGTCTCGTTCGATTTTGGCGTAACAGGACCCACGAAATTGCCGTGGTGGCAACGCGATCCATCGACACTCACCTAATAATGGCAGCAGGGAATGTCGTTGTCAACTGGGTGACGTATTAGGTCCCGTCACGATTGCCCCTCCGTTTTCCCTTGCGTCTCAAGTGACCGGAAATTGGGATTGCGGTTCAGTAACTAACTAATAGTCGTTGGAATAGGTCACCTCCTAAACGGAGACGGTTGAGAGAAGGACGGTGCGTTATGGCTGCAGGTGAGAAAATGCCACCTCGGGGTTAGCGGTAAAGTAGGAAGGCTGATTGCCGCGTAAAACAGTTGAAAATGCTCTGCCTAGTCGAGTTCTGTGGAAGTTCGAAGTTGTGTGTCTGAAAATTTCTCACAGGTTGTTGTAAAACGCTTGGACTGCAAGGGGGGGTGTTCGGCGATGCCCATGTGGTCGGACGATGATTTGTGCACCTGTGATTTCGTCGCGCAGGTGTGTTTCCCAACCTGGCTGGTCGTATCCAAACCCTGGATCAGAGCACGTTGTTTGACGTGTACATTGCGGGGGCAACCCACTCCTCCCCAACCTTCCCAACCCCAACCCTTGCTTTGGGCGTTTGAGCGACAAAGTTGGCAGTTACCGGATTTCCAACCGTTTAACACTCGGTTGGCTCTCAAAAATCTGAGACGCGAGCTTTAACCCCTTCTTGTGCACGAGGACGGTGACGGCTTTCTGCGCTGACGCCGGGAGGACCGCCGACTTTTCAAAGTTTTTCACAAAACGCAGGAGGTCGTCGCTTAGCTGGTCCCAGTGGCAGTTGAAGAACTCCTTTGTAATGCCATCCGCCCCTGGGGATTTGCCGACCGCCATGTCTAAGCGCCCGCTTAACCTCATTTTTGGTCCAGTCTGCGTCCAGCACTTCTGTCTCCTCCTCCCACAGACGTTTGTCCGGAGCTATCGGCCAGTGTGACACTTCTCCTGACGGCAGAGGCTCAACAAACAGCTTCGTGTAGAAGGCAAAGGCCGCATCCAGTATTCCATTTGAGTCCTTGAACACTTTCCCGTTTCATTGCAATGATGAAACCATCGTCTTCTCCTTCCGTACTTTAACCTTTGCAGAGAGGAGCTTCCCACGCAGTTCCCTCCCTTTCAACTGCTTCACCCACGACATGAGCGAGAGCCTCTCCTGTTCAGAGGAGAGGTACGCCGTAAGCTGTGAATCCTTCATCAACAGTGCGTCTCTCCGGAGCTGACAGCCCGAGTCCCGCATCACCTCCTGCTGCAGCACCGCGACTGCCGTCTCCAGGTGTTGCAGCGTCGCCCTGGCTCGTTTCCTTTCCTCCACGGCATACCTCCGCAGTGCTGCATTCATCCGTGTCATCAACGCACCGAAGTCGTCGGAGCCCTCTGCCCCATGGGCCTGGAGAACTGCACCAACCGCTTTCGCTGCACCCGGCTTGCCGACATCTAACGCTTTTAGCCTCCAAATACCCAGTCCTTGCATGTGAACTTTGGGAGCGATCTTGAACCCAAACCAATGATTCGAGAGCCCCTTCAGCGGGCGACAATGCAACGCTTCTACAAACTTCGGCATTAACACCGCCGAGAAGTTTGCGTGGTCGATGCGCGAGCTGGTTTTAAAAGCCCTGGAGAAGAAGCTGAACTCCCGCAGGCAAGGAATCATCCGCCTATAAGCATCCGTGAGGCAGTGCGCCGCACAGATCTGCATAAGCCTATCGTTTTCCCCAGCCGAGCCTGCCTTGGATGATCTGTCCAAGATTGGGTCCTCCACGACATTCAAGTCCCTGATGATAATAAAAGTCTGCTTCCCCAGTGAGTGTGACATGAACGGCTGCAATACGTTCACAAAGAAGGAACGACAATTACAGGCCTTCGCCGGAAAGTATACCGCTAGCACCGCGCAGCTGAAGGATTACCACTGGGCATCCGCTTGCAGCAGCCGGTCTGAGCAATGCAAGACAACATTAGTGAAGGTCAATGCTTTATTAAAACCGATGATAGCCACCCCCGCTGCCTTCCCCTCAGGACCGATCGCGTGACAGTGGGGTGCTTAAGTGACTTGAAGAAAATGTGGTCCGGGCCGATGCGTGTATCTATTAAGGTGAAAATATCCGACGGTCTTCATGCCTTGAGGTGTTCCTGCTTTCCCCTGCTCCCGAGACCGTTGACGTTGAGCTCGCGTATCGACAGGAAACGAAACAGAAGCCCCAAGCATCCACGAGCTGGAAACGGCGGCGACGACATGCTTATAATTGGCAAATATAGACTCAAGAGACCCTACAGACCCTATGCTAATCATCCCTGACTTGTCATCCACTCCCCTCCAGGTCAGAGGCCGAAATCCTTCTTCAACGCCTTAAGATTCATTTTCCCCTTCGACATTCGCAGATGCTCTCCTCCCTTCGGAGCACCATTACGGTGACGCTGAGACATCACATGGTGCGCCGCTTGCACGAAAGAGCTGCCGTGTGAGTTCTCGCAGCCGTCTTGCAGACACATCCATTTCTCCTGATTTTCGTCAGTGGAGATAAGAACCAGCGCCGAGTCCTTGAGGACAATCTTGGGCGTATCTGTAGCAGCCGTTGCAGCAGCGGCGGGACACACGCGTCAGAATTCGTGGCGAGGTGAACACAAAAAGCGACAAGGTGACGGTAAGAGCAGCAGCAGAAACAGCGCGGCTACCATTCAGCTCATGAGCCATCCCCATGGTAAGGTTCCATTTGGAGATGTTATTCTGGCGCTTGACGATGAAATTGTTGTGGTTGTGCACATAGTGAAAGCCTCCGCACAGGCTGCACTTCAACGTCGGATAATGAATCAGGAGAATCTCTTACGTGTTGATCGATGTAATGCTTCCAACGATACATGTCCCCCTCATGCGCAACCACCAGGCCTTTAATACGGTCCATATCATGCTCGGTGACTGGGCTAACCACTCGGTGGAAGCAGAAGCCTATTTAAAAAACCGACTTCTTCTTCTTTTTCAGCGGTGCCACTAGCATTTAAAACCGGGGTGCACATTCAGCTGAATGTGCATCAAAGGTTATCCCTTGACTGAGTGGGTTACGAGGTGTGCTTTCAACCCCTTCAAGTCGAAATTCGTTTCCCCCCTCCCCCGCAATTTCGTTTCCCCACGCCCCGTCGAAATTCGTTTCCCCCCTCCCCCGCAATTTTGTTTCCCCCCTCCCCCGCAATTTCGATTCCCCCCCCTCCCGCCAATCTGTTTCATCCCTCCCGCCATTCGGTTTCACCCACTCCCGCCATTTCACCCCCTCCCGCCACCTACGAAATGCCCGAAGCTCTAGCGGAATCATTTTTTTGTCGCCCCTCGTGAGCCAATCACTGTTTTTCTCCAAACCCCCTTCCCAACATCTCAAGCCGAACCGCGTTGAATGTGCACCCTGGTTTTAATGAAGCATTGCACCTGGAATTTCGGCTGGGATGGCTTTGAAGAAAGGCTCAATGACCGCCGGGTTGGTCACTTTCTGCTGAACATGCGCGGCGTCTTCCGTATACTGCCAGTCAAATGTGATGTAAACACCGTTCTTGCACTTGTGTTCCACCTGGTTACGCCATACAAAGTTAGCATCCGATGCCTTTTCAAAAATGACTTGCATGCGATCGAATAACTGCTTTGATAGGTAAGCGGGTGTGAGCTCCTAGAACTTCGTGGTGACAACGATGTCTTCAGATAGCTCATCCTTCCACATTGCTAGCAGCGACTTGACTGTCACGTGCGTTCGCGTTACTTCGTGCAGGAAATCACTCGGCACCAGGAGCGAGCGTGATCGGGAACCTGGAGCTCCCTTCGACCGCGCGTCTACCTCTTCGTCCGACAATAATGCCGTTATCCTCGGCTATCGGCTCTTCATCCGCTGCACCCTCCTCGTCTTCATGTTCTCCATTTTCGGTGTCATTTGTCACGTCAGATACGGCGCCTTTGAAAACCACTTTCTCCTTCCCCTTATTTCCTTCACTCGCACCTTCTTCGATCCTGATAGCCACCAGTTTTGCTGAATGCATCAGCGATTCAAAGCCCTCCTGCTGGAACAGGCCTTTGGCTGCCTTCATGATCGTGGCAGACTTGAGCGGAAGCCGAGACTGGGACTTGGGCTTGGCAGGAGTCGTCGCTGGGACACATGTTAATGCAACGGCGTTAGTAACAGCAGATGCTATAGCGACGTTAGCGGTAGCCGTAGCTTTAGCAGCCTTTGCAGCACGGGCTCTAGGAGGCATCGTACGATGATGAAAGCTGAACCACCAGGTCCAGTATGATGCTGTCGGAAATCTGATTCTTCTGCTCCTTCCTTCTCTTCGTTCCCTGCGAAGCTCCCTTTGCCCTGGTTCTTGCCTTCCTTACCCCTTTAGTGCCCTCAGTTCCCTGTGAAGCCCCTTGGTCTTCTCTGAAGGCTTACTCACTTGCCCCCTCCTCGGCTTCTCCATGTTTCGGATCTGCCGATGGATCTCCTCCTCATTAGCCTGCCTCGCTGTCCCTTGCCCCTCTTCCTCCTCCCTCCTCATTCCGATGATCTCTCTTCTCCTGCCCCTTCTCACTCACTTGCACCACCACTCCGGACTCCTTCACCTCCTTGAACCTCCAGCGCTCCGTTCCCAGCCCTATGTCCATCATGTCTTGTTTGGCCTGCTTCAAGTACACCTCTTCCCCCGCACTCAGCTCCTTCTCTTTCTTCCCCGTGTTACCTTCTCTCCTCTTCCGGTACCTTTGTGCATCTCTCAGCTGCGCTAT